GGCCATTATGGCGATGGCGATTTTTTTTTTCGTTGTTGTTTGGAAATTTTTTTGATTGGCCAATTAAAAAAAAAAAAAAGAAAAACGCATTATTGGCTGGCATGTGAGGGAAGGGAGGAAAGAATAAATGGTTAATTCGGAGAAAATTATAGAGGATTTTCAAAAATGTTTTTTGTCATAGAAGTTATTTTTGAAATAACTTCTGGGGAGAATATCCCAGACAAAAAACAAGGAAGCTGATGAGGATTGGTGGCTCTTTCCGAAACCTAAGTATTCCCTGCCTTACCCCCTGGTATACATTATCATCATTCTCCACTAATAAACAAACGTTGTTTTTATAAAAACAAAAAAAAAGGATAAAGCCTGACCATTTTGCAACAACGAAATACTACGGTATCCCGAACAAACAAGCCAACACTGTTCTATTTTCAAAAAAAAAATTGAAGTGCTTTAAAAATTTTTTTTGAAGCCAATGATACTATACGACGCGGAAACGTCACAAAAAGAAAAACACTCAATCGGCTGGCATTTGAAGAAAGGACAGCGAATAAATGGTAAATTAGGAGCAAATTTTACAAAATTTTCCAAAAAATTTTTTTTTTCAAAAGCTTCAAAAAATTATTTTCAGGTCAACGCAGAAAAACAAAACTTCGAAAGTGGCTCACGGTGGAATTTTTATACCCTCGACCATACACATCATGGAGGGTATATTAAGTTCGTCATTCTGTTTTTAACTCATCGAAATAATAATTTTAAACCTAAAAGAGAATATATATTCTTCATCACCGTAAAATTCTAAGACAATTTAGCCCTGTCCCTCCGTCAACCCGTCTGTTGTAATCACGCTAGAGTCAAAACGAATTAAGATAGGATGCTAAAATTTTACATCATTTAGTCTTTTGTCTGCAGGCAGGTCAAGTTCGAGCATGGGCCATATCGGTCCACGATAGTCCGCGTATAGCCCTCATTTAACGGTACTTCCCGATATTCGGTATTTGTATGATTTTAGCCACACTTTTCAATGAAATTATTTCAAATTTCGTATTTGAAGTTCCTAATGGGCACTTCAACGTATGACGGAAATTTTTCTAAACAGATTCACGTCTTCGTATAGACCCCACATAACGATACGTCCCGATATTGGGTATTTTGATTATTTTAGCGACACCTGATTCTTTCAAATTTCGTATTTGAAGTTCGGAATCGTTACAACAGCCTTTGACAAAATTCGTATAGCCACCATATATAAGTTTTCATTTGGACGGATTTTTTTAATTTTTTGAAGTTTCTTCTGAATGGTGGAGGGTATAAAAAGTTCAGTCCAGCCGAACTTAGCTTGTTTATTTTCATGATTCATTGTATTGTCCATCCATTTTTTGGTGGCTTAAAGTTTGGTGTCGTTCTTCTAAAAGCTATTTTTATACCCTCCACCATACTATGGGGGGTACATTAATTTTGTCATTCCGTTTGTAACTTCTCGAAATAATCATGTCAGACCCAACAAAGTATATATATTCTTGATCAGCGTAAAATTCTAAGTCGATTTAGCGATGTCCGTCCGTCTGTCTGTTGTAATCACGCTATCTTTCGAACCAATTGAGATAGAAGGCTAAAATTTTGCACACATGTTTATTTTTCCAGTAGGCAGGTTAAGTTTGTAAATGGGCCATGTAGGTCCACGGTTTCATATAGCCCCCATATAACGGTACCTCCCGATATTCGGTATTTTAATGATTTTAACGACATTATTCACCGGAATTGTTTTAAATTTGGTACTTGAAGTTCAATATGGATACTACACCCTACGACAGAAAATTGTCTGTGCAGGTCCACGTCTCCATATAGCCCCCATTTAACGGTACCTCACAATATTCGGTATTTTGATGATTTTAGCAACATTATTCACCGGAATTGTTTCAAATTACTTATTTAGAGTTCGTAATAAGAACTACAGTCTGTGAGAGAAAATTGTGTATGCAGGTCCAGGTCTTCGTATAGGCCCCATATATCAGTACCTCCCTATATTCGATATTTTGACAATTTTAGGTATAACACTCATCGAAATAGTTTGAGTTTGTCGTATTTGAAGTTCGTAATGGATGCTACAGCCTATGAAAGAATATTGTCTATACTGGTCCAGGTCTTCGCACAGCTCCGATATAACGGTACCTCCCTATATTTTGATGATTTCAGCTACATTATTCACCGTTTATTTCAAGTTTCGAATTTGAATATGGTAATGACTTATGACAAGCAATACCTATGTAGGTCCACGTCGTATAGAATAACGGCATTATTCGTTCTTTTTTTTCAAATTTTAACAGAATTTTTAACGGATTTTATTTTTGGAAAATTTCCAAATTCGTTCCAAATGGTGGAGGGTATTCAAAGTTCGGAACTTACTGCTTTCTAACTTGTTTTTGACTAAAAGTGAAATTTAATGAGATATTTTTTCCTCTTTGGTGTCATCCATCTAAAATTAATTTTTCCTAAACTCATATCAGGTACGGCTTTAACCCTAAAATTAGTTTTTAATACTTATAAATTCCGTGCGTTAAGGTTAAATTCAGAGCTTCGTTGAATTCCATGAATTATGCTACAATTTTATGACGAATAATTTTGCAAAATATTTTGACTAGCTATGACCCGCCTAAAAGGCCGTTTTAATTTACATTTTGACAAAAAGGATCAAAAAGACCCATTTTATGAGTCAAAAGTCCTGATTTTGTTATTAGTAATACAAGCTCTCCCATTGGCAATGGGAGACCTCAAGCTCTCTTACGAAAAATAGGAGACCTTCGAGCTCTGTCGATTGAGTAGGATTTTTACGGCTTTAAAGTGAATTTTTCAGAATACATTTTGGCCGCAGACCTTGGACATTCCAACAGGACAGGACAGGACGCGCCACCCAAGAATGGTTATTAAATGAGGTCCCTCGCAGAGCAACATTCGGGCAGTGTGTGACGGTTTCATTGGCCATTTGAAGACCATAATTCGTGCCAAAGGTGACCAATTCGAAGAAATCTAAACTTATTCTAAAAGTTGATGCTATTTCCGACATTTTTTGCTTTCATTCAATAAAATTTAAAAAATAAAATGTAAACATTATGGCGTTTGACTTTGTTGCAGTTTTTTTTATTTCACCCTGTACATTTTTTAAGAGACAAAGAATTGAGGATTTTTAAAAAATTAAAAAAATATTTTTAATTTTTTTAAGTAATTTTTTCAAGGATCAACCATAATAGATTAAAAAAGAGCGAGATCCGCACATTTTTTTTTTTTTTTGAAATTTTTTTTTTCAGGAATCTACAGGCCAATCCTCAGGGATTTTTACAACATTTTTTTCCAAAACCTATTAATTTTAATTTTTTAAAAATATCTTTCACGGATCAAAAGCCCAAATATCTTTCACGGATCCCATTCAAGGACCAACCCATGTTGGTATTTAACAGATTTTTTTTTTTTTTAAATATTAATAATGTATTTGTTTTTTTAAGACTTTTATGTTCATGGATGTTTTAAAAAACATTTTTAAAAGAACTTCTAGGTGATTAACAATCGTTGATTTTTTTTATCAAAAAATTCCTTCAAGGATATCCAGGTCAGCAATCTTGAATATTTGCAATAAAATATATTTTTTGAAGGATTTTTTTAAATATTTATTCAATGACAAGAACACAACTTTTTTAGGGATTTTTTGATTATCAAATACACACCTCCAGAAACCTGTAGACCAATCCTCAGATATGTTTTGCAATATTTTCCAAAACCATCAATTTTGTTTTTTTTTTATAAATATTCTTTGCCCAATAAATGTGGATTGTTTTCAAGGATAAAAAAAGGGTTATTTTTAAACAAACAAATCCATATTTTTTAAAAGTAAAAATCCTTTTCAAGGACCATCAAAGGTTGGGTTTTTAACAATGTAATAATAATAATAATAATAATAATAATAATAATAATAATAATAATAATAATAATAATAATAATAATAATAATAATAATAATAATAATACTAATAATAATAATAATAATAATAATAATAATAATAATAATAATAATAATAATAATAATAATAATAATAATAATAACAATAATAATAATAATAATAATAATAATAATAAAATAATAATAATAATAATAATCTAAAATAATAATTTAAATTTCTTTTCTAATACTCTTATGTCACCAATCGCCTTTTCTAGGATTTTCAGGACATTTTTCAAATATTCAATGACAAGGACGCAAAAAAAACATTGGATGTTTTATGAATATATTTTTTAAGGACTTTCTGAACCTCAAACGTAAATTTTGTACAAAAATCTTTTGAAGGATTTTTTACAAAAAAAAAAAAAAAAAACTTTCCGACCATTATTATTGGTTATGAAATTTTTTAAAAATGTTTTTTTTAAGAAATTCTGGCGGTTTATTTAGAAACTGTTTTAAAAGATTTTCCTCTCCTTTTTACAAACGTTTTCGAAGGAATTTCCGAACTCCAAACGGAGATTTAGAAGAAATTTTTTTTTTCTAAAATCCTCAGGACCATCGAAAGGATCAAGATTTGACTAAAAGGACTTTTATACCAATAACCATGGATTTAAAGGACTATTCGACCATCGAACGTAGATTGTTCTGAAAATGTTTCTTAAAAAATTTTTATACCAAAATTCGATGATTTAAAAAATGTGCTTTGCAGACTATTTTGAAACCAAAACCAAAGAAGATTTTCATAATTTTTGAAATATTTTCATTAAAGGGATTTTGAATGTTGGTATGGCAATTTTTCCAAAAAAATAAAAAATAAATAAATAAAAAATAATAATAATAATACTACTTTAATAATCAACATTTACTTTTTAATAATTGTCATAGATTGTAGTTTGAATTTTTTAAAAATTTTCCAAATTTACTAGAAAATATTTTTCCAATTTCTTAGCAAAAAAGGGTCAAAGGTTTCCTTTCTTATATTTTTTTTTTAAATTTTGCATTCATTTACTCACCTCAATGCCCGACTCAATTTATCGTAGTTCATATTCGGCTTGGATTTCCTTTCACCCCAACGACGGGCAACCTCATCGGGATCGGTTAATTTGAATTCACCATTTGTACCCTCCCAGGTTATGCAGCCGGCATTGCTGGAATCTGAGAGTAGCTCCAATAGAAATTGCCATAATTGGATTTGACCAGAACCTGCAAGGAAAATAATATACAAAAACAAAATAAATACAAGGCAACGGAATTGGAAAGGATTTCAAGGAAAACCAGATATAAAAAAAATATTTACATGAACCCAAAGTAAAAATGTGTCCTAATTGTTCTGCCAATTTCAAGCATCAACAGACAAACTCTAATTGGGAAGATATCAAAAAATAGTCCTCAAAAGTTGGGAAAAAATACGACATCTGTTGCAACCCGAAATATTTTGACAACAAGTGTCACAATTTTCCTCTTAAGGCCCAAAGACCTCCCATGGTTCGATTTACGTTTTATTATTTATTTTTTTCCTCACTTTGATTTGCAAAGCGTGACAAAAGCCCTTTGGCTAAACAACAACAACAAAAACACCCGAAGAGAATTCGTTGAAATCCTTTAACTCTTCAAGAAATTAAAAACAACCGCAAATAATTCTCGACAACTTGATGAGGCCATTATTCGATTCGTTAGGCACTTCAAACAATCAGCGACGAACATCATAAATCGTTTAATCATTTGGCAATTAGGTATTGTTCTCTATCTCTCTGTGTGTGTGTGGTGGGGTGGAAGGGAAAGGGGATGAAGCCAAAGGCATTTAAGGGATGATTTGTTGTCTGTGTTACTTTTTTTTATTCCCTCAACACAAAGTGAGTCAGTCAGATAAGCAACAACAACAGCAACAATCAAGTAATGACTTTTCGGATGAGTGACTAGCAAACTCGATGGATGAATGAATGAATAAAGGAATGAATGAATGAATTGTGTTAATTGCAAATCACAACCGCTAAGTGAAGCTTTAAGTCTTACACTCTTCTTCTTCTTCTCCTTGTTTTTTGGTTAGCTTCGAGGTTGGGGGGTGTTGAGTTAAAAGGTTAGGCCTAGCCACACGTGTTCCTTGCTAATGGATGTTAATGTTGCATCCAGCGGCAATTTTCCATGCCATTTGAAAAATGAAAATTTTTAACCTTTTTCTTTGGCAGTTTTGCACACAAAACATGTTAATATGTGTTAGTATGTGTGTGTGTGTGTGCACGCCTAAATGCCTTATAATTGTTTTGGCCGTTTTGTTGCGACATCCTCTCGTCGCCGCCATCAGGTTTTTTGCCACCGTGGTCTCAGTGGTCTCCATTTAAATTTTTCACCAACACTTGCACTAATTTTGATTTCCGTCATTTTCCCGCTGCAGCTACTGCCGCAGCTGCGTCGTCTTTTATGGCAACGATAACAACTTTTCCTTTGACTTTCTGGCCAAAGCTGAGCGGATAGTAATTTTAATTTAACAAAAAACGCATGTCGTTGCTAATATTTTAATTACCAACATGCAATGTTTTCTATGTTTTTTTTTTCGCTCTCAGATCCTATGAAGCAAGAATGAGGTTTGAGTCCTTAAATAACAGTTTTTGTTTAGGAAGCTAATCAACCACTATTTTTTTAAATAATTAATATTTTTAATTATTTTATTTATATTTTATTTCAAGGATTTTCATGGATTGAAACGTGAATTTCAATCTATAAAAATCCTTGAAATAAAATATATATAAAAAAAAATAAATAAAATAACTAAAAATATGACAAAGAGGCAAAAAAACGTGGAATTTTTGCAGATATTTTTTAAGAAGCAATAAAATTGGACATTATGATAATATTTTTTTAAGGACCAAAAATCGTAGATTTCAGCTCAAATATATTTTCACAAAAAAAAAAAATATTTTTAAACAAATATTGAACTAGTGTGGATTTTTTTTTAATATTTTCTTAGAAATATAGAAAAGTGGAGGTTTTGGTTCAGCTTCTTTTCCAAAGCCCAAGAACTTCGAAATTTTGTAATATTTTTGCAAGGTCCAATAAACATGAATTTTTTATAATGCAGAATATTTTTAAGATAAAAGTAGACATTTTTTTGAAGAATATAAAATTTGAATATAATTTTCATAAAAAAAACTATTGTATGCAGGTATATAATTTATCCTGAGATCTATAGTGAAATTTGGTGTTGAATATTTCTTCTTTTGTCACCTTTCGGCTAAAATGATTATTTTATGTTATTTATTTATTTATTTTTTTATATTTATTTATTTATTTTATTGTTTTTTTTTTTTTTTTTTTTGAACAGTGTTGGCTTGTTTGTTCGGGATATCATAGTATTTTGTTGTTGTAAAAACGTTAGGCTTAATCCCTTTATTGTTGTTTTTATAAAAACAACATTTGTTTATTAGTGGAGAACGATGGTAATGTTTACCAGGGGGATGGCAGGGATTGCCTAGGTTTAGGAAAGAGCCATAAACCCTCTTCAGTTCCCTTGTTGTTTTTTTTTTTTTTTTTTTTTTTTTTTTTTGAGAAAATTGAGGCAATTATTTGTTTGATAAGCAGTAAAAATCTTCATTTCTTTTCTGTGGAGACTTTCAGTAAAATTTAATGAAGAATATTTTTGTCTTTGACGTCATCCTTCCAAAATGGTGCTTTGTTGGAGATTTTTGAATAAATTCAAATGAAGTATGGGATTAACACAATAGGTTTTAATAATTTAGGTATTTCTGGCGTTAAGGCAAGATTTAGACTTTTGACGTCTTCTAGGACCTATTGTAGAATTTGTAGAAATATTTTTTTAGAATATTTGAACTTATTACGATCCCGTTTAAAGGGACTTTACAACCATATTTTAGAAAAAAAAGGACCAAATAGCAACATACAGGGCAAGATGAAAAAATTACAACCAAATTCAGACTGTTGTCATTTCTAAGCCACTAGTCCGACAGCTGTTAAAATAATTCCAATGACAGTTCATTATATTGTTTACAAGCGTACAAAAGCATTTTGGTGAGAACTTTCCAGAAAAAAGTTATTTGTGATGGAACTCTAGCGTTGAAGTGTGATTTCTTTATATTTGGCTGGAAAACCACAAATGGGTATCGTTAGAACACTCCAGCATTTAAATGTGAATAAATCTTTTGTGTCTCGTACCATCGCTCGTTATAGTGATTCTGGGTAGGCTACCGGGTAGCCCGACGTCAAAGAACTGGACGGAAGAAAACAGCAACATCTGCAGAAATGGTTCGAAAAGTAAAGAAGCGACTTGATCGAAACCCACGTCGCAGTGGCCCAAAAGATGAGCTGAACATAACAATATTTCATTCGGCAAATATTAAAAAACTAGCTCGGGGTAAAGCCATTTCAATTCCAAAAAGTGCAAGAAGTTACACAGCACCAGAAAGAAAATAGACTTAAAAGAGCTAAAGAGTTGCTTCGCTTGGGCGAAAGTGGTGAACTGCCGATTTTGGTTTTCTCCAACTCCGATAAGAAAACATTCATTGTCCAGCAGTTTGTAAACAAACAAAATGATCGTGTTTACTTGCCAAAGAGGTCAGCTGAAAATGTGCACCTTCGGTTGGCCACCAAAACTCAAGCGCCGGCCATGGTAATGGTGTGGGCCGCCATAACAGCCGAAGGTCGCTCTCCGCTCGTATTAATCGGCCGTGGCATCAGAATAAATACCGAATATTATCGCGAAAATATTCTGGAGGATGTATTAAAGCCTATGACACGCAAACATTTTGGCCGCAGACCTTGGAAATTCCAACAGGACTCAGCACCATCTCACTCAGCACGCACCACCCAAGAATGTTTATAAAATGAGGTTCCTCGCTTCATTTCCAGCGCACAGTGCCCACCAAAAATTTCCGGATACCAATCCGTTGGACTATTGTGTCTGGAGTATTTTGAAAAGCAAGGTTGGCAGTAAAAAATACCAAAGTGTCGGTCACATCAAGCAAGCGCTTCGCTGGGAATGGGCCAAAATATCACAGAGCAAAATTCGGGCAGCGTGTGACGGTTTCATTGGCCGTTTAAAGGCCATAATTCGTGCCAAACTTATTCTAAAATTTGATGCTATTTCCGACATTTTTTGCTTTCATTCAATAAAATTTAACAAAAAATCCAAAAATTATGGCGTTTGATTTTGTTGCAGTTTTTTATCTCACCCCGCATATATGAATTCATGACGTTTACGTAAGACTTACACTCTTAACTTCTTTGAGAGGTTGCGACCGGATTTTAAGACATCATTTAGCCAGGTATTGAAAAAAAAAAGCTTTTGTTGACTTTACGGGCTTCGAGGAATCTCAATCTAAAAATGTAGAAGAGGGGGGGGGGGGAGGAAACTTGTCCTCTCTATTCAGGTTACTTAACAATTTAATCTTTTATAGCGCCGATATTTTTAGCTCTACTTACATTATTTGCTGGATTTTTCTTTTAATTATTAAAAAATCTAATATTAGTGGAACCGAGATTTGTTAAATCATGTTTTTTTCAAGGACAAACTGACCAATAATCATATTTTTAAACATTTTTTATTTCTCTCTTCCTAAAGCAGCACTAAAACAAGTGTGTGCATTGGAAGCAATGTAGTTGTTGTGGACAAAAAATCCATCACTACAAAAAACAAAACGTTGCTGTGAAAAAAGATCTGCCAATAGAACTTGAGTCGAACCTGGAGAGTTTCTAGTGTATAATTCGCATATGCTAATTTGCAATAAGTTCGAAATATATACTACTTTCCAGAGAACGGCCCTTGTAAGCCATCATCCACATCAAATATGCCTGATGAGCCGCTTAACCAACGGCGAAACGCGTCGCATAGTGGTGAGTGTGTGATAGTGTCTATCTGGCTTTCCTTTTCACTGCAAATTTCAGATCATTAAGCTCGTCTCGAAAGAGAAAACAAACACTTAAATCATAAAACATATGATCTTCGCCTTAACAAGGCAAAACTCGAGAATTATTATTACTATTTATTTATTTATTTATTTTTTTTTTTTTTTGACTATACTTATTCTATCTTTTTTCTAAGGCCTTTCAACAAACTCCCAAAACTGTTGTCTGTTATAAAATATAAACATAGTCTCCATTTAACGGCCTTTATCATAAATATATAAATAACTATTTTCTTAAATATATCACCTTACCGGCAAATACAAAATATATAACATTTAAAATTATTG